GAAACATAAACCAAGGAATAAGGTTGGGCAAATTTTAGGGTGCAACAAAGGTCTAAAAATTCAAGAAACAAAATTAAGATTATGTTTGGTTGAATTGAGACGCGATGAATGTCAAGCTCAATTAGTCTCCGACAACAATGCCAAAAACTTGATGCAGCCGGAAGTGCACGACTGTTGCAAAGTAATAAAATAAATATCGAACCATAGGGACCAATGGTTAAGTACCAAATCCTTATTCAATCAGTGTATATCTAGAGAAATCAAAAAGAGAGTTTTTAGTAAACAACTTGAATGAAAAAGACAATTAAATAGAAATAACGGAAAAATCAATTAAGTACAAAATTAGGGCAAATAAGAACCGGGGTTATATTTCATGCTTCTAGCATAATCATACAATCCTTGTCACATATATTGCGAGTCTTTTTGCATAAATTATAGAAAATAGATAAAATTGGGCACTACTTGCTTTCGTCAGCGCATTGCCCATATCATCAACAAATAATCTGTCAACTTTTGCATCGTATGAATTATTATTCTATGAGTCATTACTTTTGCCTAGCTATATGGTTTCTCAAATTTGTTCGTCGGCTTTCACATCATCTAGATTAGGTTGTTTAAAAATATATGCTCTAGTAACGACACATATCCTTTTAGACTATGGTCGATATCTGAGAACTACTTACTTTCGTAACGAAGTTGGAATGCATGCACTCAGATCATAAAATAAGTTTAATTAAAATTCTCGCAATTGATAGTAATGGACCATACGATAGGTCATGAAACAATCTTTATAACCCATAGTCCCTAGGAAACTACTCGCTCATGGTGAGGGTAAACATAATCACAAAGATATTCATCATCAAACTCATATCAATCAAACAAAATAGATGAACAATATTAAGATAATGAATGTAAAACCTTAATTGAATTATAAATTTGTTCCACAAATTGCTCAATTGGAGACTTGAGTTACAAAGAGAATAGAAAAATAGAAATTTTATAAACTGGGAGAAAAATATAAAAGTTGGGAACCTTAAACTCATAATAGACTATGAGTTTTATACGGGAAAAATAAATGTGTCAGATATCCTTGGTTTAATGAAAATATTCAGATTTGATTCATATCCAATCAAGCCTAAGAGCCACAATCAATAAGAGATCTTTCTAATTATGGAAGCAAAACCAAAGTTGGGGTTTTCTCTCGCCTCCCTGCTACAGCTCGTAGTAGGTCACTGCCTTCTTGCTCCAAAAATCAACAAATGAGGGGGGTTTGGATGCCATGCTGTTACGACCCATATCAACTGCTACTGGTGCTTGTAACAACCCTCTGACTTTGTCTTGGAGAAATTGCAAACAATTGTTTTAGCTTTGTTTCGCTTGCCTTTGATCCCTTTTTTCTTAGATGCTCTTTAGACCCTGAAACTCATAATAAAACACAAACCAAAGCATAAAACATGACAAATGATAGAAAATTGAACAAAAAACGGTAAAATACTAATGGAAAACTACTAGAAAGAACGATGCAAAGACCACTTATCACATACAAAGTTATGTCTGGAAAATGTCAATCAAAAGTTTTGATGAAATAATAAAACAATTAAGTTTAAGTGAGTAAACGAATAATGAAAATGACTAGATACAAAGAGCTTTAAGTTGGCCACTTAACGAAAGACAATGAAGTTTTATTCAAAATTACGCCCCTTAAGGGGGTGAAGTTACAATGAAACACAAGAACTAAATAAACTTCTAATTCTTCTGAACAATCATGATTTCCTAATTTGGAACAAGAACAAGAGTGCCCCCTATACAAGGGGATAATCCTCTTCCTCTTTGTGAATATCCTCCTCTTCCACCACCTATCCACCTGTTTCCCGTCTTCAATTACTTTGAAGAAACCAACCTCGCCTAAATCTAAATTATGGTATAAAAATAAGACTCGTTCTTTCACCTTTTCAAAAACATGATCCAAATCAATGGATGTATCCAATCAGAATTCCTTTAGGCGATTTCAAATGAACAGTTGGCAGCAACATCAGATTTGGATACCTTATTCAAAGTCTTCATTTCTTCTCTCATCTGCTTCATCTCATCACTCATATGGAGAGTTGGTATCCTTATATTTTTCTCCATGGAAGAAAGAATCTCATTTATCGAGGCCAACATGTTTTCTTATATTTTAAGTTAAGAAATTTTTTTAAGTTAAAAAATTTTCTCCAATTTTGTTGTTTGGAAACTATACGGGACAATATGAACTTCTTTCAGACCTTTTGTAAGAACCAACCTATCCTCTAAGTACTCCTCTTTGGTGAGGTCCACGAAGTTGACTTTTTGGGCATTTGTCCTTGGTAGCGGACAAAAAACTATTTCCTCCCTTTTTATCCTTAGTTTTCTTGTTATATTTTTTTTACTAATTCTTTATCTACTTTTACAACGCCTAAAAGGCCTAGGATAGGAGGATTATGAACTGTTATATCTTTTCTTAACCACTTATTCTATATAAGTCTCGTGTTTAAAGGATTGCGGACTTATATTATGACCCAAGCATACATAACACCAATAACCTCGACCCATTCGCCTTCCACCTCGTGGGATACACAAAGAGGGCAATAAATAAGTTATACGAGGTTAAACACATTCCACATGCGGGGGCAATCTTGTCACCCACTATATTATACGAGATGAAACATCAACTCCTTAACCAAACAAGATTGTCCTCGTCATAACATAAAATGCAGTCCCCAAGTTTCATTGAGTTAGTTAACCACGTTTCCTATATTATAAATGCTAACAAGAAAGGATCATCACATTAATAGGTTCAATAAACTACACAATCCTAGAAATGATCCTTCTATAAGATGTTATCCTTCAAAGAGAATTTGAAACTGCACGTAAATATTTGGATAATCATTAGCATAATTATATGAATCATAATGGCACAATGTTACCTATGTTATAAAGTATAAACAAATCCTTCAAAGTGGTGTCATATTATACCTAAGTCGTCAGGTGTAAATGCTCTTCATTACTAGAAGGGAAAATTACAATCACCTCCCTCGAAATTTATTAAAATGAACACCCTCTCTAATTTTAAATATGCACTAGTCTTCTTTAAGATATATTAAAATGATAATGGCATCTTCTTTAATTTTTAGTGACAACAAAAAATCATAGATATACATGATATATACCTACAACCTTATATATATATATATATATATATATATATATATATATATATATATATATATATATATATATATATATATATATATATATATATATATATATATATATATATATATATATATATATATATATATATATATAAAAGAGAGAGAGAGAAATGATCAACTTACTCCAAATCATAATATTTGAATTGGATCTAATGTAATGGTTAAATTAACTATTTACTTAATTAATCATTAAATGCAATTCAATGGTTACGATTTGAAATAAATTAAAAATAATTACTCTTGTAGTAATAAGTTGATTATCGTCTCTCTCTATATATAAAAGCTTAAAGGAGGTTAATGTATATGTTTTAAAATTAGAAAGAGTAACATTGTTATTTTAACCGACGAGAAAGGTAAAGTGTAATTTACGTTAAATATAAAAAAAACAATTGATTAAAAAATAAAAAATGTAATTAAACATAAAAATTATTTTAAATAAAATCCAAAATAATCATTAAAATATGAAAAATTGTTTAATTAAAATTATTTAACAAATTCAATTACGTTTTATCACAAAAATACTTTCTTCATTTAAATATTATAAAACATCAAAATTCAGAGTATCTGTTTTTGTATTATTAAATTTGATCTTATTTAAATATATATAATAATATTATACCTACTTTATTAACATCAAACAAAATACATAATCAAATTACTCATTTTGGTTTTCTAATATATCTTTTATATAAATATATATTAGCATTTTTTTTGTATGGTCAAAAGCATATATTATTTTTACTATCAATAATACACAATGGGCTATATAAATGGTCATTCATAAACAATGGGCCTCATATGAGGGGCAAAAGAGTAAATTAAATCTTCGGAAGCGATAAAAGAAGAGGATCGATTTGTTTGACCTAAATACCCTCTTTTTGTGGATAGCCTGAGCACTGGATTTCCCTTCTCAACCCTCGCAACCTCATACCCTTTCCTCTCTTCTCCTTACCCTTCCGATTTTCGACACTTCCCCGCCAATTTTCAATCAACCTCTTTTCAAACACTCGTTCCTTCTTTCTCAATCCATAAAAACCCTTTTTTTCTTCGTTCGTCGATTTGCGTCTCAATGCTCTCAACCTAACACCACGATCCGATACTCTTTGGTTTAAGGTGAACCCTCTCGTTTAATTTTATTTATTGTGATTTTTTTTGTGTCAATTCTCATGGGTTTTGCTAAAGTTTTTATTTTTATTCAATCACTTAATTCAATTCTGTTTAATGAGTGTTTGTGATTTTATGTTTTGATCTAGGTTACTATAGTCCTTCTTGAGTAAACTATGTCTTAAGTTAAGCTCAATGCAATTTTTATTTTTTATTATTGTTGAGGTGATTTTAGTTTCTCATGGTTGTTACATGTTCTCTGCAATTAACTACTCATGATCGTTTTTTGTGTAATTTGAATTTGTTTCTGGAGTGGTTATCATCAATTATCAATTAATAGTAGTGTCAATGGGATGATTGTGAATTTTGAATTTGTATGTTTATTATGTAGTAGGGGTAGGGTACTTTGGAAAAAGATAGTAAAAACCATGGTATGCTTTGTGAAATGGTTAAGTGTTGATCGGTGGATTTTTTTTCCTTCTTTCTTGTAGGTTTCTGTTGATGCATATAATTCAGGATTTGTAACATTCATGAGTTGGACAGAGGATTGACGTGTCTTTTGTTATCTGTGGGATTTTGCAACTGTGTCTCAGCCATAAAACAGAGATTTGTATTGTAAGCCAAGCAGGGTTTTTGTTGTTAAAGTAGAGGTTTATATCTTCAATGGCTAACCATGATTTGATACTTGGTCAAAATCACAATTTGGAACTTGGTCAAAATCACAATTTGGAACTTGGTCATGACCATCATGACCATCATCAATCAATGCTTGGTCATAATCATGATTTGGGGTTGAGTGAGAACCATGGATTGGAACTAGGATCGCCGCCACCACATGAGCATCAATTGGACATGAGTCAGACCCATGAGCATGAACTGGACTTGGGTCATGACCATGGACTGGACTTGGGACATGACCATGACCTGGGGATAGAACAAAATCATGATCCAGAAGGTGATGATGGTCAAACTTATGAGCATGAGCTGGCCATGGATCGAAAGCCCGGGCATGATAACCATGAGTCGCCCCTTCCTGGACAAAACCATGATATGGACTTACCAGAGAATAATAATCTAACTGTTTTTGAACATCAAGGGTTTGATGATAACATGGACCTGGCTGTGATTCAACACCCAGAGATGGGCACTGATTCTGAGAATGATATGAGTATTCAACAGTCACAGTTTATGCTTTCTTCTGAACCCCATGTAATTCAGGCTCGTACACTTGCTATAAGTCCATCTTATGAGTTGTCAGTGGGCCAAGAATTTCCTGATGTCAAGAGTTGTCGAAGGGCGTTGAGGGATACGGCAATCGCTCTGCACTTTGAGATGCAAACTATTAAATCCGATAAAACACGGTTTACTGCCAAGTGTGCTAGTGAAGGTTGTCCTTGGCGCATTCATGCAGCAAAGCTCCCAGGGGTTCCAACTTTTACCATCAGGACAATTCATGAGAGTCATACATGTGGAGGGATTTCTCATCTTGGTCATCAGCAAGCTTCAGTTCAATGGGTTGCTAACTCTGTAGAGCAAAGGCTGAAGGAGAACCCCAATTGCAAGCCAAAGGAGATACTGGAAGAGATTCATATGGTCCATGGCATCACCTTATCGTACAAACAAGCATGGAGAGGCAAAGAGCGTATTATGGCTGCAATGCGCGGATCTTTTGAAGAAGGATATCGCTTGCTTCCACAATACTGTGCACAGGTGAAACGCACAAACCCGGGCAGTATTGCATCTGTTTATGGAAATCCAACTGATAATTGCTTCCAACGACTATTCATTTCTTTTCAAGCATCTATATATGGCTTTTTGAATGCCTGTCGGCCACTCTTGGGGCTTGATAGAACATATCTGAAGAGCAAGTATCTTGGTACATTACTTTTTGCTACTGGATTTGATGGTGATGGGGCTCTCTTTCCTCTCGCATTTGGTGTTGTTGATGAGGAGAATGATGATAATTGGACGTGGTTTCTGACTGAACTTCATAACCTGCTTGAGGTTAATACTGAAAACATGCCAAGGCTTACTATTTTGTCAGATAGACAGCAAGGAATTGTGGATGGCGTTGAGGCATGTTTTCCTACCGCTTTCCATGGATTTTGCATGCGCCACTTGAGTGATAGCTTCCGAAAGGAATTTAATAACACCTTGCTGTACAATCTTCTATGGGAAGCAGCCAATTGTCTAACTATAATTGAATTTGAAGGTAAAGTTATGGAAATTGAAGAGGTATCACAAGATGCTGCATTTTGGATTCGAAGAGTTCCACCTCGTCTGTGGGCTACTGCTTATTTTGAGGGGCACAGGTTCGGACATTTGACAGCAAACATAGTTGAAGCTTTAAACAGTTGGATATTGGATGCATCTGGGCTCCCAATAATTCAGATGATGGAATGCATTAGAAGGCAGCTAATGACTTGGTTCAATGAGCGCCGAGAAACCAGTATGCAGTGGACATCCATACTCGTTCCTTCAGCGGAGAGAAGTGTTGCAGAGGCCCTAGAACGTGCACGCACTTATCAGGTTCTTCGTGCCAACGAAGCTGAGTTTGAAGTTATATCTCACGAGGGAACTCATATAGTTGATATAAGAAACCGCTGCTGTCTTTGTCGTGGTTGGCAGCTTTATGGCTTGCCCTGTGCACATGCCGTGGCAGCGCTTCTATCCTGCAGGCAGAATGTGCATAGATTCACAGAAAGCTGTTTCACAGTTGCAACTTATCGCAAGACGTACTCACAAACCATACATCCAATTCCTGATAAATCACTTTGGAAGGAGTTGTCTGAAGGAGATGCTAATGTTAGCCAAGCTCTTGAAGTTACAATAAACCCACCTAAATCACTCAGACCACCTGGAAGACCGAGAAAGAAGAGAGTTCGTGCAGAAGATCGCGGGCGTGTTAAGCGAGTGGTGCATTGTAGTCGTTGCAATCAAACAGGTCACTTTAGAACAACATGTGCTGCTCCCATCTAGATATGTTATGTTTTCTCTCTGCCAAAGGCTTCATGTCCTCTTTATTACTATTTATTTTAGGCTCCATAGGTTCTCATAGCTTAGAATTGCAAGTAAATGATTTATGTTATTTATTTGTCGTTAATGTGAATTAATTTTTAGCAGATATTCTCCATTTATAGATATACTTAATGAGCTTTGTTCAATGATACACGTATTTAGTACTGGAGTTATTTTTGGTTTTTCAAGTCAATAGTATGTTTCTTTCTGTAAGGATGTTGGAAATCTCAAAATGATTGGGGAAACCTGTTCATATCAAAATAAACGTGCCACTCAGTGCTCACTACTTCTCTAGAGGTGGTTACTTATACTTCAATCAATTTGTTAATGTTGTATTTTGATCTCAGTATAAGCAGTACATTCAAACACCGCTCGCTTTTGGTATATTTTTTTGGTCTAATAGCGTAATGATTAGAATTTTATCCCTTAACGGTGAGTTGTCGCATGTTGAAATCAGTGTCCTTGCTTAAAGTAGTGAAACGAAATTCAAAAATTGTACTTTTGATATCATTTTTTGTGTGATCAAATTAGTGTTTAAAATGGTCTTTTGTAAAACCAAACCGATAGAATTAAATATTTGTTAATGTCATCTATAGAGTTAATATGATTTGAAACAAAAATGTGTTTGGATATCAACACCTGTTTATTAATTGGGATTCTCTGTATATAAACGGAAAGAAAGAGGAAAAAAATACATAAACGGCGAGCTGATTCATCAGTCATTGTGTATATATTGTATAAAGAAATACAATCTAAAGTTATGATGTAATTATGTGTCCTACAACAATGATCCACTCATTGCATTGTAACTCCACGACCCTTTGTCTACTCCCCTATTTACTTACGTCCCATGAATGCAAACATTACAACAAAGAAATAAACAAAACAGAATATATTAACTACAATAATCCCACATTGATGCTGCTATATGAAGTTTGTCATTTCTTGTCATCATCAGTAGCTGCTTCTGATTTATTTGTGCTAGCAGAATTAGCCATCAGATTATCAAACTTCTCAGACTTACCCAACACAATTTCAATCTGCAAAATACCAACAAAAACTTATGTTTAAGATCGCGTTTGAACGAGAATGATTGAAAATTTTAACGCTCTTCTTCATCAGGATTATCTTACCTTTGCCTTCTGGACGAGCCGGCCTTTGTTCTCATCCTTCATGCCGACTGTAGATGTCAATACTTCTGTTTCATCCCAACAACATTCACTGATTGGTTAGAATCGCTACAATCACCATATGATGAATGAGAGAAACAATAGCAAACAAGAAGAAACCTTACTTTTCTCAGTGGCAAGTCCATTGTTCTTCAAAATCTCGGCAATCGTTACGACTGTAGCTATAGCTGTGCCAATTCATGTCAACATTTTCGTAAAATGTGTCATATATCAGTTAACATTAAAATTCGAAAATGTTTGAGGAATGTTGTGAATATTGTCCAAATCAAAAGACAAAAAAAAAAGGAAAATTTAGGGTTGAGAAAAAGAAATACCCATTCCAAGAGCAGAAAGCTCAACTTCATTGTGCTGCTGAATGTATCTCTGCATCAAAGGAGAAATTATTTCAACATTATATAATGTTTTCAAATCAAAGCTAACAATTTCGAAATTTGAACGGTCTGATCTTAATCCAATGATCGTGGGTGCATTGACATAAATATAGAATATCTGATCGCAATGAATTTTGATCCGACATTACATACCTTGGCGAGATTGACGTAAAAGAAAAGTGGTTTCTTAGTATTGGAAACCTGAATTCTGTTTTTCTTATTGGATTCATTCGGAGTTGGAGTTGTTGCGGTTGCAGTTACAGGCGCGGCTATGGTCGTCATTGTAATGTAATCCTCTCTGTAACTGTAACGGTAAAGTAGTTTAATGGATTAGTTCCTTGTTTATATAAGGCATGACTCTTGGAACAACAATAAATGAATTGTTGACACGTGGTGGCTTGTGAGGAGATATAGATTATAGACATTATAGTATGTTTCATTCAACTGTAAACTTAGTTTGTTTGGTGGTTAAGGTAGAATTGAAGATTGCATGGTCGTTATTTTTTTGAGTGGATTGCCGGTAATGTCCTTGGCTTTTCATTGGACCTATTCTTCTGCTCTTTTCAACGGAGAGCCCATCAATCTTTGAGACTGTAAACACTACAAGAAATATTGTCTATTCCTAAGTGATATTCACGTCACAAAGCTGTGACCTTGTTATCACATGGGATTCACTTTACTATTAAATTTAATTATAAAAAAAATAAATAATACTAACTGAAAGTTACTATAAAATTAAAATAAAAATTAAATATTAAATATAAATTTAAAATTAAAATAATTTTTAATTAAAATAATATACATTTAAAATATATAAATATTTAGTCACATGATAAAATCTGTTTTTCACATGATAAATATTTAGTCACATGATAAAATCTGTTTTCTATAATTTATTTTTCTAATAAAATCTGTTTTTCTATATTCACTAAAATATTTTTTATTATACTAAAATAATAAAGTAATATATACTAATATTTTTTATAATAAAATCTGTTTTCTAACCTAACTCTCAAAATTTCAACCACAACAACACAATACACAATAAATACAAACAAATTTAGTGTGTGGACCTAACCTCCTCAATTCTCTCTTTTTTTTTGTTATTTCTTCCACTTAAGATATCAATTTTGTACGATAGCATAAGTGTGATTGGTGTGTTAAGTGTTTGTGACCTAACCTCTTCAATATATGATAGCAAAAATGTGATGGATGTGTTAAGTGTGTGGGCTAACACCTAACATATATAATATCCATCTCATATATTCATCTCGACCTATGTTTCATATGATATATTCTAACCCAAAAACCACTCATTCAACCCCCTATCATATATTATCTAAAAACTAGGGGTGTACATATGTTATAGGTATTTAGTATAAATAATTTGCCAATGGTATTAAAAAAATTATAGATTGTAGACTATTGACTCATATGTGTTCAAAGTTGATATTTCAAATGCTAATACGTGTTTTAGTTCTAATACGTGTTAAAGTAAAATATAAATCACTAAAATAATATATTATACTAATATATATTTAAAGTAATATATATTCACTAAAATAAAATCTGTTTTATATTATACTAAAATAATAAATTCACTAAAATAATATTTTCTATAATTTATTTTTCTAATAAAATCTGTTTTTCTATATTCACTAAAATATTTTTTATTATACTAAAATAATAAAGTAATATGTACTAATATTTTTTATAATAAAATCTGTTTTATATTATACGAAATATTTTTCTGTTTTTCTGTTTTTCTAAAATAAATATTTTTCTAAAATTCAGTTTTTCTAAAATAAATCTTTTTCTATAATTTAATACCATTGGCAAATTATATTCACTAAATACCTATAACTTATAATCTTGAAGAAAAAATTTAAAATCTGTTTTATAATAAAATCTGTTTTTCTATATTCACTAAAATATCTTTTATATTCACTAAAATAAAATTTGTTTTATATTATACTAAAATAATAAATTCACTAAAATAATATTTTTCTATAATTTATTTTTCTAATAAAATCTGTCACAAAACCAACAAATGTTTCAACTTAAATTTGACTCTAATGGAGTAAAAATGGAGCTGAGGGAGAGAGGCAGCAAGGGAGAAGGAAAGGGGAAGAAGAAACAGCAAGACAATGAAAGGGGAACACGAACTGGAACGGAAGAAGAAGGATACAAAGTGAGAGAAATTTTGGCTTTTTTATTTATAAGGGATGTTGCGACGTGGTTACTCGGACGGAAATCTGCGACGTGGCATCTGCTTCGGCAGTTTGCGACGTGTTTTACATTTCGGTAGTTTGTGACGTGTAATTCAGGTCAGTAACATTCAATACCTGGTTACTTTTAAAAGTTGCGACGTGGGATTTGTTTCGGTAGTTACCGACGTGGCTTCAAGGACGCAACATTTTCCCTTTATTATTTTATTACAGTTGCTCCACTAAATGCCAACGCAACTGGCAAAAATAATTAATGTAACTGTGTTGCGAAGTGAAACACACGTCACAACTTAATTTCTAAAAAATTCAAACTTCCCCTTTAAAATTCCAAATTTTCGTTCCAGATTTTTCACCTACACAATTTATTAATAAAATATGTTAGTGACGTGATAATCACTTGGCAACACATTTTTTTTACTACGTGTTTACCACGTCACTAAATCACTAGGAAAATTCAACTATTTCTTGTAGTGAAACAACACAAACTTGAATCCATTTACGGCAATGTGAGATATTGTATATTCAAGATTAAATAACAACCACAACAAGGAACAAATCAATGTTTTTTTGGAGAATTAGGTTAAATAAAGCGATTGTGTTTTGTTATGAATCATATTTAAAGATAAATGATTTAAGGTTAAATTACATATTTTGTTAAAATGAAAATTGATTAAATTGATAAGGACTTTGATTATATTATGCAAAATGTAAGTTCAACTATAGTTGTTAAGAATATTTTTGTTAGCATTTTGTAAATCTTGAGTGATGCCTTCACGTTGGTGAGGCTATGCAACTCAAATAATTTAAATTTTTTACTATGACAAAAAAAATTGATCTTTTTAAAATTTTGAAATTCTGGTATAAGATATCAGATGTCGAAGGCGATGTTACGACACTAATATCTGTTCAATCATCAATAAGAACAAAGACTAACATATAACATACGTAAAGAGACACAAGCAATTGTTAACCCAATTCAGTGAAAGCACACCTACGTCTGGGGGCTACCAAGTCAGGAAGAAAATTCACTAAGTAGAATTAGTTTGAAGATATACAATAGACTCTCTCTAGTTTACCATCTTCTCACCTAATCTCTACCCTTGCAATTTCTACCTAGGACACACCTAGATAAGAGACACCTCTTACTCCCCATCAATCACAACAGTGATAACAACAGATTAATAAGACTTTAGAAGACACTCTTCAAAGACACAACTTGATCTTACTTAAAAGCTTCAATCAAGTACAAGACACTCTTGCTTACAAGCTTTGAGTGAGCAACTTACAATACAAAACTTAGTCCAATTCACACATTAAGCAATGAGTGAACGACTCACAAACTAACACAAAAGCATACGAATGCCTTACGCAATGCACAATAAAACCTAGATTGTCTAAAAAGCAAGCTAGGGTTGCAAATCCTTAAATATCAGCATTTGGACGGGCTTGGGGTGTGGCAAAAGTAACAGCAAATTGTGAAGAGATCAATCTACATAATTCGTATCAATGAAACAAATATGATTTGATCCAATCAAATCCAATCAAATCACTCTTCATAACACCGAGATAATCTTCAGAAAATAACTCCACTTGAAACCACAAATGTTCCACAATATGTGAATAAAAACGCCTTTGAATATCAACTAAATCCACGCAGATTTTACACCACAAAGAACAGATCACAAAGTGCAAAGAGTTGCACAAAAGTAACAGATAAACAAGCACATTCTCACAGAATGTTTTGTTCATAATAGTTAGGACATCATGTTTGACATCATGACCTAAGTCCTGCTAGAACAGACAAAGCTACCTGCAGAACCTTAAAACCACATGTCACGACATCCTTACACAAAGTTTTACCAAAATTCCTGCCAATCAGGAACTAACAAACTCCCCCTTTTGCAAATTTTGGCTAAAACAAATAACAGATCACAAGAGCTTCAAAAATAACAAAGAGCACAACACAGCATAAAAAAGCAAAGCAATAAAATAAGAGTAAATGCAAACTCCCCCTCAACACAAACATCAACAACTCTCCAATCCAAAACACAAACCAACCAGCTCAACAACACTTCCACAGATAGCAACTTGTAAGCACAAAATCACATATAATAACCCAAATATAACAACCTAGACAAGAACAACAACATCTAGCAAGCAGCAGTAGCAAACAAGAACAACACCAACATCTAGCAGGATCAACATCCTGCAAACAAAAGCAGCTACTACCAGCTTCACCCTATACATCTACCATATACTTCTCCCCCTTTTTAGCTACAAATTGTGAATAAAAGCTAAGAGAAAGCAAAATAGATTACATAACCAGTACCAAGAAGAGTTAAGGGTACAAGGACCAAATACAGTACAAGCCAAAAGCACTTTAAATGCAAATAAAAGTGCATTCTGCCACAGCAGAGAAAACAAAGAAACCAAAAACAAACAACGAGCAAATCAAACAACTCAATCTTCATCATCAGACTCAGAACTTGCATCAACATCATCAGTATCAATTGGCACAGAACCACCACCATCCTCAAACTCCTTCTCAGACCCATCCTCACCATCATCTTCATTAGTATCATTATCATGCACAACATTATCTTCACTTTCAAGGCACTTAATTAAAGACTCCAATTTAATTTTTCTAGCAGTAGCAACATTAATCATATCACCTAGTTCCCTGCAGGTTTCCTTTAACTCTGAAATTATCCTTACCCTTGATGCAGAAGCCTTCTCAACAGAAGTCAAGACAATGTCAGGGACATGTCTTCCAGCAAACAACTTATGATGAAGGGACATAGCAGATTCCCTCTTGCAAGCAACGCCATTTGTGGTGAGAATACCAGGGTGTTGATTAATAATGATTTCACAAATAAGAGAAGGAAATCCAATAGGCTTTTTCACACCACTAGTGGTTGCATGTTTAGTGATTTGATAAAAAATATATCGTCCAAAATTAATTTCAGTCTTAGTACCCACAACATAGATAAATCTGCCCAGACCAACATAAATGGTAAAGGTGTGATTAGTGGGCACCAATTAGCAACACTAATT